GGTGGGGGAGGGTTGTCCAAACAAAAAAAATAAACCTCGAACCTTTCGTTAACGAGGTTGTCGTGGTTAGGATCACGTGGCTGTCGCTTCATTATATCGGATTCCGCTTGCTCGTAAGCCAGAGATATTGCTGGTACCTGACAATCATGAATTTTCTTTAACAACAAAACACGTCTGTTTAAACTATCACAAATTATCACAATATGTTGTGCGTTTCCTGTTGATGATGTATCACAAACTGCCACATCTTACAAAAAAATTTAATAGTGAAACAACAAATATAACAAATGCTCGATTAGTTTTTTTCGTTTTGTTTTGTTCTTTTTGTTTTTTTCTTTTTTTGTTAAGACAAAACACGGTCAATCGTTTATACGTTTGTTGTTTCCTGTTGATAGATACATGTAATAGATAATAATATACGTTCGCCATATGTTAGTCTAATAATTTGCATTGAAAAATGAAAATAAAAGACAATAATTATTATTCCCATGAGAGAGACCAAGAGACACGCTCTAAATTCAAAATTTCCTTTTGTTTTTTTTTTCATGGGTTTACAAACGAATATGAGCGTGACTCCAAGCTCAACACCCTTTTCCGACTGGGAGAAAGAAAAAAAAAAAAACAACAACAAAAATCAAAGAATAATTTCTTCGCTAGAATATTGTTTTCTATATTTGTGTGTTTTTTTTTTTTTAATTCGTCGAATAAAGGATAATAATAATAATAATAATAAGAAGAAGAAGGAATAAGAAATAAAAATGTGATAACTTACCATGTCGGTTCCCAAATCGATGCAGAGAATAGTGACGGTACCAAGTGGTAATGGTATGTCGCAGAGAATGAAAGCCAGGAAAGGAGAGATCTCGGGTATGTTCGAGGTCAGAGTATACGCGATAGATTTCTTTAAGTTGTCGAAAATCAAACGACCCTCCTCAACCCCCGTAACAATCGAGGCAAAATTGTCATCAAGTAGAATCATGTCGGCTGCTTGTTTGGAGACATCAGAACCAGCTATACCCATAGCTACACCGATATCTGCTTTTTTCAAAGCGGGCGAATCGTTCACACCATCACCTGGAAAGAAAGAAGACAATTTTTTTTTTTTCAAATGTTTTATCTTTCTGAAAAATGAAAATATTTTGTAAAATTCGATCGAATTGATATTGTGTTAGATTTGAAATGAAAAATATAATATTTCGTACCAGTTACGGCTACAATGGCACCCATTCGTTGACAACCCTCGACGATAATAAGTTTTTGCTGAGGCGAGGTACGGGCGAACACAATTTCGGTGTGGTACCTGAGGATCTCGTCCAGTTGGTCGGAATTCAATTCCCTGAGTGAGGTTCCGTGGATAACTGCGGCCTTGGCTTCGCGAGGATTAACCTCGGATACGGGAATGTTAAGCCGCTGAGCAATGTCCTCGATGGTTTCGTTACCTACAAATAAATAACAAAGATTCGTTAATAATAACTTCATGTAAAATAAATTACAAATTTTCAACAAATTGAACATAAATAATATCTCTCTTAGACGTTATTTTATATATATATATATACAAAAAAGAATAAATACCTTCAGAGATGATGCCGACAGATTTGGCAATGGCTTTGGCAGTGATCGGATGGTCACCGGTGACCATGATGACCTTGATACCAGCGGATCGGCACTTAGCGACCGCGTCAGGTACCGCAGCCCTGGGCGGGTCAATCATAGACATGAGTCCCACGAATCGGAGTCCCTCAACCGGGAAGTTGGGATCGTCGGAGTTGAATTTAAAACCAATTGGGAACTTGTCGGAGGGTAATACGAAATCGCAAAAGCCAAGTACACGTTCACCGAGACCACCAAGTTCGAGATAGGCATTGTTGAATGCTTCTTTCATTTCCTCGTCTAGTACTTTTTCCTTGCCGCCAATGAAAATGGTCGAGCACCTGTCAAGAATTCTTTCCGGTGCACCCTTCATAACTAATAAGTGTCTCGGATCATTAGGATCATCGGATTCGTGGACAGAGACTTGATATTTGTTGGTTGAGTTGAAGGGAACTTCACAGACCTTTTTGTTCTTTTTCCTCATACCCATGACATCACCGTGAGCAAGTTCCATGCATTTGAGAAGGGCAGCCTCGGAAGCGTCACCGTTGACTTCTCTTTGAAGGATGGGCACGTTGTCTTGACCTGGTTTGAATTCGGCGCGATTGCAAAGCGTTGCGATTTTGGACAATGCCTTGAATCCTGGACTCGTACGATCGTATTGCAAACCGGATTGATTTTCCGTAGTGTCGGCTTCGATGATCTGATTGTCGAACCACATGTGAGCAACGGTCATTCTGTTCTGAGTTAAGGTGCCAGTTTTATCTGAGCAAATGGTGGAAGTAGAGCCAAGAGTTTCGACGGCTTCAAGATTCTTAACCAGGCAGTTCTTCGAGGCCATCCTTTTGGCTGTCAAGGTGAGGCAGACGGTTACGGTAGCGAGTAATCCTTCCGGTACGTTAGCGACAATAATACCAATAAGGAAAATCACGGCGTCCAACCAATGATATCCAAGAATGAAAGCGATTAAAAAGAATGTTACTCCAAGGAATACGGCGACACCGGTGATAAGATGGATAAAGTGATGAATTTCTTTAGCGATCGGAGTCTCCCCGGTGTCCAGACCAGATGCCAATCCAGCGATCCTACCCATCACAGTTTGATCACCGCAACAAATAACCACACCCTTTGCCGTACCCTCAACCGCATTAGTAGAGAAGAATGCTAAATTCTTAGTTTCCAATGGATTTTCGTTCGTAAATTCGGGTGACCTGGATTGGGGCTCGGATTCACCGGTGAGTGAGCTGTTGTCAACCTTAAACCCTCGTGACTCGATAATCCTGATATCAGCTGGAATACGATCACCGAATTTGACTTCTACTACGTCGCCTAATACCAAGTCCTCCGCTCTCAGAGTCAGCTTCTCCCCTTCTCTTATAACCGTCGCGAATTGTGGGACCATGTTCTTGAACGATTCCATAATCTTGCTCGACTTGCTTTCCTGATAATACGAGAATATACCAGTCACTATTACGACAGCTGCTAACACAATGCCGAGGTAAAGATTGTCATCGTTCGGGTCCTCGCTCGTCGACGCTTGGATCGAATACGCGATGAAACAAAGGATCGCACCGATCCACAGCAACAAGGCGAAACCACCGAACAAATTCTTGCAGAATTTTAACCATTCTGGGGTTTGCCTAGGTGGCGTTAATGCGTTCGGTCCGTCCCTCTCAAGGTTCTCCTTTGCTTTCGCGTGACTGAGGCCCTATTAACAAAATATATATTTGTTATATTTATCAATGGAATTCTGTTTCTAATTTTTTTTTTGTTTTTTACATTTTCTGCTAACGTGCCATATATTTTTTATTCCTTTAGAATACCAATAACGGTTATAGTTGTTTGTTGTCTTAAGTATCGAACATTTTTATTTTGTACCAAATTTCAACACCCAATTGTAGTGTTGTACTAAGCTGAATGTAACATTTTATTTTTGAACAACAATATAATATTATAATCGTTGTCGTTAATCTTACTTACGTTTTCGGGATGCGTTTGAAATCTTTGATAAAGTTCTTCTGGTGTGATTTTGTGGAAGTCAATATCCAACTCTTGCTTCAAATCGTCCAAATTCTCTCCCTTCCGTTTAGGATTTTTTCGCCGTGACTATTTTGAAAAAAAAAAAAAAAAAAAAAAAAAAAAAAAAAAGGTAAAACAGAAAATAACAAATGTTATTAATAATTTGTTTAAAAACGTTATTTAAGAAGAAAAAAGATTTAGCTGGAAAAGAAATATTTTAATTGGTCAATAAATATTTCCCCCTGATTAAATCCATAACCGTTGTTAGTCCCATGTTCGGCGTACAATCAAATTTTTAGAATTTGTAATAGTAATAGTAGTAGTAGTAGTAGTAGTAGTAACAGAAGAACAAGAAGAAGAAGAAAAAGAAAAGGAAGTAGAAACAGATTAAAAATCCATTCAATGTGTTCCTTCAAATTTTCTAAAAAATAGATTAGAGTAGTGCTTAAAGAATATGACGTGTAAGTAATAAAGTTTGACGTATGTAAGGTGCAAGTAATAGTGTTATTAGTGGTATGATTATAGTTAATGAATTTTCGAAGTTAACGAATGAATAATTAGGGTTACATTTGTTCCATCACCATTCGATAATTTTGATGATAAGAATAGATAATAAAGATAATATACACCAACCAAGAATATAGAAAAATATCAAAGATGAGTTTGATTATTGCATTATTGCAGGAAAACGAATGAATTATTACAATGAAATGAAGAAGAAGAAGATGAAGAAGAAAAGTGTTCCGGAAGTTGTTAGAAGTCAAAGATGGCTGAAGGGATTAAGTAGAATTAGCAAGAAGGAGATAGAAAAGATAAAAAATAGAAGTAGAAGAAGTAGAAGAAGTAGAAGAAGAGTAAGAAGAAGAATATCTAAAGAGAAACCAGTTAAACTTGTTTCCCAGTTCTTCATTTTTGAAATCTTCGAAGAAACGCATGTTGGACGTATATTAACATCCCAACACCGGATATGCAAGTAAAGATTATGTGAAGCGGAAGTCCTTCCTGAATACCTTGTACATTCCATCCGCAGTCTTGTTGTCGTCGCGAATGTTGGGTAATGTGGCGACCCTGTATGAATCAGAACGGCCATGCTGTAAAAATAAATGAGTGACACAACAAAATCATGAGATGTTCGTGTAGAAATAACTTAAAAAAAGAAAAA